ATGCAGTGTACACAACACATGGGCTTAGTACACAACTAGGGTGACAGATAAAGCTCCGATTCACATAAGCCTCATGCTATAACCTGACTTACGAAAGCAGTCCTTGACTTCCTTAGCCCTTTGGGGAAAAGGGGCAATGCAAGCCCAAATGTGAAACTCCTTCATGAATAAAGAAACCTGGGTTAGACAGAGACGTGCTGCAATACTAGGCAAGACAAACTATGGCATGTATACCAAAAGGTAAAGGAGGCCAAAATAAAATCTGATAGAATCCCATATCTTACATTGCTGTGTGAAGCTTCTGTAGTGGATGGAGACGTCTCACTACTCCACAAGTGATAATGGTGCTTTCTGATACCCAAAGGAAGGATTCCAACCTCCTTAATGTAGTCCAACAATGAATTCACCAAGGACGAAGACTTGGAGGCTTCGGGGATTTAGGGCCAAGATACAGATGAGCAAGACAAGCCCAAAGGCAGAACCCAGTGAGGGAAGGGAAAGGAAGCTCATGCAGGTTGTTTCTGTCTACCTATTACTTTTTTGCTGTTGCTCACAGGCCCCCAAACTCCTCAGTCCTCCTCCCCCCACCCCCACAAAGTGGAAGGGCAAGCAGCAAAAATGCAATTGGCCTTTGAAGGCCAATATTAACATGCAGTGAAAGCCATACGTAAAAATAAGAGAAATCCCAAAACACTCCTAAACATAGGCTGTTTGTAGAACAGGCAGATAAAAATTTCTAGCAACTTAAATCTGTGCATTGTAAACAGAAAAGTAAAACCACCAAAACATATACAGTAAAAGCTCTGTTATCTGGCATGATATGGTGAATGGGGGGTGCCAGTTACCTAAAAATTCTGGTTATCTGAGGCAGTGGTTTTCAACCTTTCTGAAAACCCCTGGCAAAGCAGGGCGGGGGTGGGAGAGGCCGCCACACACAAAGCATCAGCAGCAGTACAAGATACTGGGTGGCAACGGTAGCCGCCATGTGCGAGACTGCCCCCCACCATGTCCGGTCAATTGGCCGGAGATTCTGATTAATAGTGTTCTGGACAGTAGAATGCCAGTTAACACAGATTTTACTGTAAATGATTATTCAAATGATATATATAAAAGTTAAAACAATGCTTGCAAATAAACCAGCAACTGAACATTTAAACTGCATGTTCTTTATGAATAGAAGCAAAACTTA